AAAAAAAAAAAAGAAACTTGGTTTCCTTATAAAAAGAAAATGGTCACTAAGATTTTAAGAACCATCTCCTTCAAGAGGTAACCTAAAGGTGTCCCTTCCCTCCTAAAAGAAGCTAGGATGTATTATTCACTTAGGGCTTCATCTGTGAGGTTCCTTTTAAATATCCAGAGGTAAACCCCCCTGGACTCTAGCTTGCTCTAAAAACAATTCTGTGAGGCATGACACAAGGTATCATTTGCTAAAAATTTATCTCATGCCATGTGAAATTATTCTTAAAATTCTGATTGGGCCAAGTACAGTGACTCATGCCTATAATTTCAGCACTTTGGGAGGCTGAGGCAGGAGGATTGCTTGGAGCCCAGGAGTTTGAAACTAGCCTGGGCAACCTAGCAAGACCCTGCCTACAAAAAATAGGGGGAAAAATTAGCCAGACATGATGACATACACCTGTACTCATTGCTACTAAGGAGGCTTAGGCAAAGGATTCCTTGAGCCCAAGTGCAAAGTTTCAATGAGCTATGGTCACACCACTGCACTCCAGCCCCCAGTTTTATCTCTATAAAAAACTTAAAATGCTGATTTATGGAGGTCAAAGTCTAACAGTGGTGGACTAAAGGAAAAAATTGCACCATGCAGTAAGGAAGTCCTTGCAAAGAAGAATAAGCTGTATTATATAGCTGACATTCCTAAGAAATACTAAAAACATGTCCTCTCATTAGAAGGCGACACACAGATGTTCCTGGCCCCAAGACAGCAAGAAAAGGGGAAAATGGCATCTTAATACTACTCAGGATTTCGTGTATTTAAATCTACTCCCCACCGTTCAGTAAGGAAGCTGAATTTCCATATATAATAATAAAAATTAAAATACTCTTCTGCTCACTGATAGACTAAACTAGCTGCTAATCGGAGCCATAGTCCATAGGATGCCAAGGCCAGTGTATGAAAAATGAAAAGCTTCATCCTCAAATCAAGCTCCCCAAGGTACAAAGAGGTCCTGAGCAAGTTTTTATGCAAATTACAGAACAACTTAAGTTTGTCCAAGAGTATGTGAGGCGAAATTTGGAGTTTAATATCAGAATAGGGTTACAGTAAACCAACAAACAAAAAAATACTTTTCTGATTATCAATTTTTCAGACTCAAGGGTATCCCCAAAACACTGGAGATCCAGCTTATTCCTGAGACATCAACCATCACAAAAGGTTTTTACTCTTTGAATTATTCACATTTTGTAGCAAAAAAACCAGAACAAAGTTCTGCAGACATCCTCCCTCTCCTTTCTAAATGTATTCACAAACAGGGTCTTTCCATAGTTCAAAAGAAAAACAAATAGCTTTCTTTCTTAGCCAGTTGGCCTGTTACTCTCACTCTGGGATCTTATTTCTTAAGAAGAGGGTTCAGGGCACCAAACCCAACCAGAAATTCCCAAGACACTAGGAGCTACTTTATCTTTCCATGAGGGAATGGATGCTCTAGTCTTTCTATGGGGGGGGGGTTACTCTCCTGAGATTATTGTGCCAGTCAATAGTCCTAGGAGAAGTGGGGAAGAGAAGGAATGCAAAAGCAAAGGGGTAAGGGAAAAGAATGAGGCTTTCGTGAACACCCACAGCAAGGCAGAATGGTCCAGCTTTACAAACCACCCACTAAAAACTCCAACATGCACACCCAAAACTAGAGAGGAAGGAGAGCGCTCCTAAGGGATTCAGGGAGACAAAGGATGGTGACACAGAACAGCAGACTTGCCTGTGGACATTTCTCACCTTCCTAACACTGGAAGATGTTTAATTAAAAAGTTGCTGTTCAAAATTGTACTGAAAACATATCTAAAAATAGGTCTGTAGTCATCTTAAAAATAAAAGATCACTCCTCAGATAAGAGGAGTGATAGATATTATCAGATACCAATACTTGAGGTATCTTTGAGTAAATTTGAAAAATGGCCTGGCAGAGAAAAAGAAAGTAAAGGAAGGAGAGAGAGGAAGAGAGGAAGGGAGGAAGAACGGGAAAGGCAAGAGAACTGGGAGGAACACATTTTAAAGCCCATGCTTATCTAACCCAGCAGCCAAACAAAGCAGATCCACAAAGGAAAAAAATGGTGTTACTTTTAGGAACATTCTGAAAATCAACTTTAAGTTTAAAACATAAGAAACTGCAAACCAAGAACAAACATCACAATGTGTATTGGACTTAAAAAACAATGACTACTGAGACTGGGTACTCAAATGGGTCAACACTATTCAGGGGTCATTCTTAGGATTGTCTGGCAGAATACTACGATCAGGCCTAATGCACCAAGTGGAGGCCAAAGTGCCTCTATTATGTGGTATGCACCTGCTTTGGGAGCAGACAAAATCACCTGATTATTTATTATCTCAAGGTACAATAGACTCTGCCAGCAACAAGATGTAAGCAGGGAGGAACAACATTTGAGCAAAGTTTTACCAAGGGCTCCCTTCTGATGCAGAGGGTTTAAAGTAAAGAAATAAGAAGATGAGAAATGTCTTCTACTCCTTTACTTTTAAACCCTCTACATCAGGAGCTCTCAGATCAAGCAAAGGGAAATGAACCTTAAAACAGTGTCACAAGCTAAGTTTTGAGAGGTGCACAAATTGCTGTCCCTAAGGACAAACACCTCAAGGTGAAAGGGAAAGTTCTCTTTTTATCATTCTCCCTGATGATTTTAAAGACCCCAAACCCAGGCTCTTGCAGCATTGAACCACAGGTAGGATACAAGGAAAAGAGACAGAGGGTAAAGAACATGAACAATGATGAACCTATCAAACCTCTGTATCCCTACCAGCCAGGCAGTGGTTAGTAGGTTGATACTTAATAGGGGATAAATTTGAGGGGGTTGGTTCTCAATAAAAAATGACCAAGGAAGCCAGAGTGGAACATTTTCCTCTATGGGCTGCTTAGCTCTACAGAAATACACCAAAGGCCTTCAATCTAATCTGTCTAATTGGGAATGGGAACAGGAAACAGGGAGAAGAATGGTCAGATGACACCCATCTTCCCATCATTTGGCACCCGAGGGAGGGGGAGGTGAAGACTGCAATAGGGACTGCTGGTGCTGCTGCTTCTTTTCTTTGTTGATCCTATTGGCCAGATCAGGTACACGCAAGTATCAGGGTTGCTGCTTTTCTTCTAATCTTTGCAGGAGTCAGATGTCCATCTCAAACTGAGCATCATCCCCTAGTTAGGACAAATAAAATGAAAAATTTAGCGCACACACACAAAAGGCAAAAGTTTTCATTGTCATTTCCTTTTATGAGGTTCAAAAAATAATCCAAACTATCCCATTTTCTGCTGCCTTAAAACAATTATTCTAGGCCAGGCACAGTGGCTCTCACCTGCATTCCTAATACTCTGGGAGGTCAAGGCAGATGGACTGCCTAAGCTCAGGAGTTTGAGACCAGCCTAAGCCAGAGTGAGATTTTTTTTTTTGTTTTTGTTGTTGCAGTTTGACCGGGGCCAGGCTCCAGCCCACCACCTTTGGTATATGGGGTGGGCGCCCTAATCACTGAGCCACAGGCACCGCCCCTCAGAGTGAGTTTTTTTTAGCTTCATCCCTAAAACAATTGCTGGGTGTTGGGGTGGGTATTTGTAGTCCCAGCTACTTGGGAGGCTGAAGCAAGAGAATTGCTTAAGCCCAGGAGTTTGAGGTTGCTGTAAGCTGTGACGCCATGGAACTCTACTGATGGTGACAAAGTGAGACGGTCTCAAACCAAAACACAAACAAACAAAAACACTAATTAATCTGCTTTGCTGGTAGTCTTAATCTGTAAAAGAAGAATGGCAATCCCATCACTATAAGGAAGTTTTAGGGGACGAGAATACAAGTGAAACCTTTCCAAGTGTCCTTTCATCCGAGGGTCAACCAAATAGCACCTCCTGGGGTGCTCTTTGCCAACTATCAGGTAAGCACATTCTTCTGGAAGCTTTCAATTTTGGCCCTGCTCTGAAGGGCCCTGGTCCTTCCCCATTAAACACGCATTTTGAATTTGATAAAGCAGAATACTGGGGCAATGCCTGTGGCTCAGTGGGTAGTGTGCTGGCCCTATATACCAAGGGTGGTGGGTTCAAGCCCGGCCCTGGCCAAATTGCAACAAAAAAATAGCTGGGCAGGAGGCTAAGGCAAAAGAATTACCTAAGCCCAGGAGTTGGAGGTTGCTGTGAGCTATAATGCCATAATCCTCTACCCAGGGAAACAGCTTGAGGTCTCAAAAAAACCTCAGGGTTTCCACGGCATTTCAATAAGCCTTTGGGGGAGGAGGAGAATCTTATAGAGATATAGAACGTAAACATAGTTATAACTGAAACATCAACATTTTTTTTAACAGACATTCAAATTCCTAGAACCACCCTCCTGCTCCTTAGAACTGTCTCTTACCAACTGCGTGCTTCCTGTCATGATTGTTCAAGTTGTTCAAATTGTTTACTTCTACTTTGGAGTCTTCAATTAAGGTGCCAGGACTAGTGACTCCTGGGATATTGGGCAGATGGCAGGGCGGGGTCTGAGCCATGGGAGAATTGCGACGATCCAATAGAAACTTTCGATCATAAATGATTCGAGTTCCTAGAAAACAGGGTTGAAAAAAGTTCAAAACAAATTTAGGTGTTACCAACAAATAATACTACTCAGAAACTCAATTTAAGTCCCACTTAATTCTACCTTTAGGATTTTACAGTTCAAGCCAAAGAGATAAGCTCTAATATCCCTGCTTGTGAACTGGCTCCCCTGCCACTTGAAATGCCCTCTCTTCTTCACCGGGGAACTCCTGATCATCCTTCAAGACTCAGCTCCAGGGAGCGGTGCCTGTGGCTCAGTGAGTAGGGTGCCGGCCCCATATACCGAGAGTGGCGAGCTCAAACCCGGCTGAGGCCGAACTGCAGCCAAAAAAAAAATAGCCGGGCATAGTGGCAGGCACCTGCAGTCCTAGCTGCTCGGGAGGCTGAGGCAGGAGAATTGCTTAAGCCCAGGAGTTGGAGGTTGCTGTGAGCTGTGTGACGCCACAGCACTCTACCAAGGGCAACAAAGTGAAACTCTATCTCTACAAAACAAAACAAAACAAAAACAAAGACTCAGCTCCAGGGCAGGGCACAGTGCCTCAGCCTGTATTCCTAGTACTCAGGGAGACTGAGGCAGGTGGATCACCAGAGCTCACAGGTTGGAGATCAGCCTGAGCCAGAAAGAGATCTTGTCTCTAAAAATAGCTGGGCATTGTGACAGGTGCCTGTAGTCCTAGCTACTCAGGAGGCTGAGGCAAGAGAATTGCTTGAACCCAAGAGTTAGAGGTTGCTGTGAGCTATGACACCAGGACAGCTACTGAGGGTGACTAAGAAAGACTCTGTCTCAAA